AAAGGAGATGATGTGAGTGGGAGTTACCAAAATGTGAGGGAGGTGAAGGAAATGAAGAGGGAGTTGATATATATTGATGATGGAGTAATGAGTGTTAATGGTGAATTAAAATGTGGAAAATGAATGGTGAGGGAAGGTGTAGTGGCGTGAGTTTCTTGAAGGAATTAAATGGGGAGTTATCTCCCTAAACTCTACTCTGTGGTGTAAAATCTGACCTAAATAGTACACGCTTTTTCCCCTGAATGGGTCCAAATTGAAAATCGTTTACGTTTTTGGAATCAGACAGTCAAAACAAATTTAATGACGTGTTCAAATAATTTTTCTAAGAACTTTTTTTTTATTTTCCCCAACCCTGGACCGGAACAGTAATTAGTTATTTAAAATAATCAATTCTAATAGACCGGGTTGTAGGGCGTTACATTAGGTGATCGGATTACTGGAGAATAGAAAGCAGAGGTGAGTAATTAGATCAAGTTAAGTGATCGGATTACTGGAGATAGTTATAGACTCCCGTACCAAGATAGAGAGAAGAGTTAGAGAAAGAGAAAGGTGGACGGGATTGTCTATTATTCAATAAGAGCGGAGCGCCCAACCATTGTGAGATAGATATCAGGTGGGGGTTTAGAGGCTCCCAAAGAATATTGAAAAAAGAGCCCCGAGAAAAGCCCTCTTCCCAGAGGCAACGAATCCCCGAGAAAAGTCCTCTTCCAAGAGGCACCGAGCTCCGAAAAAAGTCCTCTTCCAAAGAGGCACAAAGTCCCAAGAAAGCCCTCTTCCCAAAGGCAACGAATCCTAGAGAAAAGTCCTCTTCCAAGAGGCACCGAGCTCCGAGAAAAAGTTCTCTTCTTCGAGGCACCAAGTCCTCTTCCAAAGAGGCACAAAGTCCTAAGAAAGCCCTCTTCCCAGAAGCAACGAATCCCCGAGAAAAGTCCTCTTCCAAGAGGCACCAAGTCCTCTTCCCCGAGGCACCAAGTCCTCTTCCAAAGAGGCACAAAGTCCCAAGAAAGCCCTCTTCCCAGAGGCAATGAATCCCTGAGAAAAGTCCTCTTCCAAGAGGCACCGAGCTCCGAGAAAAGTCCTCTTCCCCGAGGCACCAAGTCCTCTTCCAAAGAGGCACAAAGTTCAAAGAAAGTCCTCTTCTAAGAGACCCAAATCTCTGAGAAAAGTCCTCTTCCCGAGGAACTAGAAAGAAAGAAAAGTCTTCTTCCAAAGAGGCAAAAATTCTGGAGAAAGTCCTCTTCCAAAGAGGCACAAAGTCCCGAGAAAGTCCTCTTCCAAAGAGGCAAAAAGTCCCGAGAAAGTCCTTTTCCAAGAGGCACTAAGTCCCGAGAAAGTCCTCTTTCAAGAGGCACCAAATCTCCGACAAAAGTATTCTTTCGAGAGACACTAAGTTAAATCCTTACCCACGAGATAACGAGACCCTCCAAAAAAGAAAGTCATCTTCCCGAGGTACCAAGAAAAGTTTTATCCCATGAGGCAACCCACCGAGTCATATAGTTTTGAATCTGTCTCGTTCCCCGAGACAGACTCAAAACTAGGGGGCATGTGATGGATTAGGGATTTTTCCTAATCCAATATCATTTGAACAGTACAAGAAAGCCCAATTTTATCTGGCCCAAGATATAAATCAGATAAATTATTCAAGACGGAACCAGAGATATATGGACAGAAGAATATATTTCAAGTGATGTGAAAATATTCCGTGGAGCCCATATACTAAACATATGCACATGGAGGTGACATGGCCACCTCATGGCATTGTTGGGATGCATGCATGTACTCCCCTTTAAATACAATGCTACGAAGGACGGAAGATGGAGGCCAGATATCTACAACAACTTACTACTATTCTTCATTCTTCTTCTTCTTTAAGCTTGGAGCTCCATTAATGGCTCCAAGCTCATACAATGATGTATATGTAAATTCCCCGAGATTAATAAAAGTTCATCCCCTTTGGCATGACACCGCCTAAAAAGGCCCGTGGTTTTCTCCCGATTTGGGTTTCCACGTATAAATACTTTCTCTCCGCTTTATTTATTTATTTAATTTTCGGATTTCACTATTCGGTGCGGTGCAGACCCAGTATCGATTTTGTCGGGTCAACGCCACGAAAAAGCGGTTTCCATCAATAACATTCATTCTCTTCAAAATAGCGGGAATGATCATCGACTTCGGTACCGTCATAACCCGTCTCCCACCGGCAGCTTACGAGGCACTCAAATCCACCTTTGTGAAGGAGATGAAATCTTACAAAAATGCCCCAGGCGTTTCCATACTGGACACCTGCTTCGACTTCAGCAACACCACCGAGGATAAGATTAAGTTGCCGAGGATAGGCTTTGAGTTCAGCGGGAACGTGAGTGTTGATTTACCGGCCAGCGGGATCCTGTACGTGATTGAAAGCAACTTGTCAAAGGTGTGCTTGGCCTTTGCCGGTAACGAGGACCCCGCCGGTAACGATGTTGTGTATGACGTCATAAGCGAGAGGCTGGGCGTCTCGTGCCATGCACGGGGTAGAACATTTTATTTTGTTTTTGTTATTTTTCATCGTGACAAAATTTTTCAAATAAAAAACTACATAAAACATATAGAATATGCTAATGAAAAACTTTATTTTTACTCTCACTTGTGAAATAATAATATAATTTAACAATAAGTGAATACCGATTTGGTAAAAATAATATTATTAATGGCAATATTTAACATTAAGTTTTTTTGTAATCATAAGTCATAACGAATTGAAACATAAGCTATTATTTAAAACATTTGAAATGATATACGGTGTAAGTTTTATTTAACGAAACATAAGTTATAATTAATCAATGTTTGAAAATTATATTCTTGTACCCCTAATTTTTCATACCCTACCTATCACATCATACTTTTTCACTAATAACCAAACTATCACATCTTACTTTTTCTCATCACATCAGGGGCAAAATTGGAAAGTCAACCAAAATTACACTTTCCTTATTTTTCCCCAAAGGCAAAACCGGAAGGGTTTTGTGGACCGGAGGGAGTAAGTTTTATTTAACGAAACATAAGTTATAATTAATCAATGTTTGAAAATTATATTCTTTGAAATTTCAAAATTAATCATGTATGAAGTGATACACAGAATATAATTCATTTATGTTATCCATGTAAACCTTCTCTAAGGCTTTATTTTCTAATACTACAATTGCGCTCAAGATAATTTTTCATAACTTTCAATGCTTAACCTTCTACTATTATACAATTCAGAGAAAACGTATATGGTACTGTTGGTTTTACCAGAAGTAAGGTATATTTGAGTAGTATTCATTTTAAAGTAAAGTAGTACTCATTTTTCAGACAAATATAAACGTTCATTTTAAAATAATGTAGTACTCATTCTGAAATAACGCAGTACTCATTTTCACAGATTTATACAATACAATTATAATGAGCATTTACGAATAACTTAGTATTCATTTTGAAACAAAGTGGTGTTCATTCTCAAATTACGCTGTGTTCATTCGGAAACACGCAGCAACAGACTGTTGATGTGGTGTACGACGTCGAAGGCGGGAGGCTGGGCTTCAGTCCTGGTGGCTGTTCTTGATCATGATGATGATGATGATGATGATTGGTTCTATATATATGATTCACTATATATGAATTGATCAAAACAAGAGGAAGTTGTTGCATGTTTTTGTTGTTCTTTTTTATTTTGGCGTGATGTCCAATTAAAATAAAGCATGTTTTATGTCAAAAAACTACTACTCAGTGTGATAAAAACTATCGGGTACCTCTAATTTTCAAAATACACCATGGATACCATAAATTATGTAAAAACTTACTTAAGAGAGACTTTTCATCCCTCTTCCGTCAAATTTATTCTTAGGTCAGTTGATCATCTTCACCATCGACATCATCACCATCTTCCTCCTCCCTCCTCGTTTTTCTCTCTTTCTTCTTCTTCTTCTTCTTCTTCTTCTTCTTCTTCTTCTCATCCTCTTCCTCCTCTTTGAATCTAGTTCCCAGAACCCCCCCCCTTTTCTTCTTCTTCTTCTTCTTCTTCTTCTTCTTCTTCTTCTTCTTCTTCTTCTTCTTTTTCTTCTTCTTCTTCTTCTTCTTCTTCTTCTTCTTCTTTTATTATTACTATTATTATTATTATTATTATTATTATTATTATTATTATTATTATTATTACTATTACTATTACTATTACTATTACTATTACTATTACTATTACTATTACTATTACTATTACTATTACTATTACTATTACTATTACTATTACTATTACTGTTATTATTAATATTAATTACTTGTTTTACTACTCTATTTTTTTAAATAACGGTAATTATTATTTACTTCTTCTTCTATTATTATTACTAATAAAATCATGATAATGAAGTGGAGATAATCCCTGCTTATCACTAATTAAATCATGATTTTAAATCTCTACAAACAAATTCGTGCAGATTTTAAAAACCATATCATTTTCTCTTAAATTTCTTAACTCATATAGTCATATCTTATCGTATCTTCAGAATTCACCAATCCGACCCAAATATTTTAATAAAATCAAACTAGTTTTTATTTATTACGAAGTATCCTTTTTTTCTTAATATTGTGAATTACTGTTTATATTTTGAACTTATTAAATATCGGAGTAAACAATATTAAATTTATAAATTATACATAAATAAATTACCAAAACTAAATTTTAATTAAAGACTAAAAATATTTTACTTTTTTTCATACAAGTGGAGATTGCGAAAGATTAATGAGGTATAAAAAATATTGGTGGGAGCATGAGTGTTATTTTTTAAAAAAATTAGAGTAGTAAACAACTAATTAATAATAAATATAATAATAATAATAATAATAGAGATAACCATGGGTGGCCCGGAGGGTGTGCAAGTTGCAAACCGTATAGGGCCCCTAAAATTTCTAGGCCCCATATTTAAACGTGTTTTATTCTAATTATTTGTTATGTTTAAATTTAATATGAATTTGTGTTTTAATATTTAAATTTTTATAAAAGTGATTAATAAAAATCAAATTTGGTATTAATTTGAAGCGTAAGTACTCTGAAAAAAATAAAATAAGGCCCAAAATGTTAATTTTGTACATGGTTTATTTAATTCTTTCTTTTTGAAGCATAACAATAATAATAATAATAATAATAATAATAATAAGCATAATAATAATAATAATAATAACAACAACAATAATAATAATATTAATAATAATAACAACAACAACAACAACAACAACAACAACAACAATAATAATAATAATAATAATAATAATGGGAGAAGAAGAATGAAAAAGGGAAGGTGTGGGAACAAAGAAAAAAAGGAGGAAGGACAAATTGAAGATGGTCATGATGATGATCATGATAATGATAATTATGAAGAAAAGTGACGGAAGGATAAACTTAAAAGAATATAGATGAAAAGTCTCTCTTTGGTAAGTTTTTGCATAATTTAGGGTAACTCGTAGTATATTTTGAAAATTAGAGGTATCTGACAGTCCTTACCAAAAAACTCGAGATACCCAGCAACAATTTTTTGGTTTTATGTTGTTGTTTTTGTCATTGTGATGTGATTTGTAAACATATAATATTCTACGGCGGGGTGGGGTAGTATCCTCCATTTTCTAGCTTCTCTATCCAAAATTTACATTTACACTATCTTTATTCTATCTTTGTCTCATTCAACTCTACAAAATTAATGTCAATTAATTTCAAAGTCTTTTATTAATTTTGTAATTGTTTCTCTTGGTTTATAGGCAGGTCAAAATTGTTTATAAGTATTGAGTAATTTTTAACTTATGAATCAGTCGATGACATGTTTTTGTATGCCTATAATACATAAGTGATAAGTAGGTCTTGACTACTTATTCGTAACTCAGTTTTTTCGTTTTTTTCTTTTGACCAGATTATTTATAAAACTGTGCTCACCATTTATGAATATTTCTAAGTGACTTATCTATCATTTGATTCATTTTATTTCCATGAAAGAATATTTGACTTATTGACTCACACGATGTTTTCTTCATTACTGGTTTCGATATCAAAGTTTGCAGCGGTTTCACCCACACCTGAGAACATCCACCTTCTCTTGCAATTTGATGGCAAATGGGATGGTAATGGTGTTTTCTCTTACACATATGGATATGAGATCGACATTCCGATTCAGGCTCCATATAAAGACTTAGCTTGCTGGAGATAATTCGTAATACAGATATGTCTTCTTATAAAAATTTTGTTTTCAAGATTTCGTATATGTCCAATTCATGCTCAAGTCATGTCGTGATTGACAATGATGTGAGCCTTCATGTCTACCTTCGTCTGAAGAGCACATATCCCTCTCTATGCGACTTCCCTTTGTGCGTTGAGTTATGTCAATTTGTAGAAATGACTGTTTATAATAATGGAGGGTCAGTCCCTATTGAAGTTCCACAGACTTTACTTGGTTGTCATTTTGAGTTAAACTCAAATGCCCATGAAGAAACTGAGTCTGATGGATCGATGCGTGATGTTCTAGAAAATGAAACCATGCACGCTCTTTGTGAAGATAATATATCATCACGATGTGCTTTGTCTAAAGAGTCTTTATTTGACACATATCCTGGAGAGGAGATTTCAACACAAAATGGCCATAATGGAGACTAGGTTTGCTGTAATTCTCTTGACTCCAACCCATGCGCTTATGTGATGTCCTAGCAAGATATTAACTCATTGAAGGAGATGCACGTTACTTCTCGGTTCGATCCAACTAGGACTTTCTTTGACGCCATATATTCTAGCAAAATTAACCTCGATTTTCATTTGAAAGTTATAGCAATTTCCAACTATTTCCAGTACCGGACCAGAACGTCAAAAATATCTGAGCTCCATGTTGTGTGTGTGGACTTCCCTCGTTGCAAATGTGATGTTTGGGCTATGCATTTACCAGGCATTGAGATGTTCTAGATTCGTAGGTGCGTACTACTTTTCTTTGAACATATAGAAAAAAATTTCTATTTCTCTGTTTTGGCTCATTAATGTCCATGTCATTTTCTCATGGTCTTTATCCAATGTCATCCTACTCTTTTCTATTTCCCTATTGTACGATTTGTAACTATTCCTACTCTGCTGGTCATTATATTCCTTATCTTACAGTCTCTAATTAATGCAGTGTTTTACGTCTCAAAAAGGACCTTTTGGCCATTCAATAAACCAAACTAAAGTTTTTACAGAAGACATAATAAGGAATTAAGTGTATCCAAACTGAATACAAACCATCATTTATGAATGATCTATAACATTAAATGTCCTTTTCCGCTATGCAGTTAATTCCTACTCTACTAGACATTATATTCACTACCTTACAGTATTCTCTATTTACTCAGTCATTTAACGTCCAATACATAGACATTATAGTATTTTAATCGTCCATCCTAAGTTCTTGACAGTCTATCAATGGGTGACTACGTCTAAACTTCATAATGTCTTAAAAACATTGTTTTTCTTTATCGTATTAATTGTGTCACTAATGTCTTATCGGTACAATCGTGAACACCAATGCCCAATTGATGTTCACCAAGGCAAAACACGTCAGGCTACTTATCACATCGTTGCAGAGCTAGTTAAACACAACTTCTGTGACACAATGATGAAATCGTACCCCTTAAATTTAATTGTTACCGACATGCGGAGGGAACATGGGAATGCAATGAGTTACAAGAAGGCGTGGTTTGATAAAGAGAAGGTATTGAAAATTTTCTTTGGAACAGTAGGGGAATCATACGCTACTTTGCCATCAATGTGTTTTATGCTCCATCAGGCTATTTTTGGTTCTTTGATCAAACTCACCACGACCCTGGATCACTTGTTCAAGTATCTTTTTCTCTCTCTCTCTCTCTCGCACCTTGGAGAAAAGGGTGGTCCCACTATGTTCCTGTCCTAATTACTGATGGGTCCTTTATGAAATCATATTACAAGGGAACACTTTTAACTGGAGTTGCACGTGATGGGATTAATCAGATTTTTCCACTAGCATTTGGCGTATGCGACGCAGAGAACGATGCAAATTGGCATTGGTTTCTCTCAAGAGTAAAGCAATCTCTTAAACACCGTCCAGTGGAGTATATTGTCTCGGGCCGGGATGATGAGATTATCAAGGCCGTGAAATCTATTTTTCCTAAAGCGGGTCATGGCCATTGCATATTCCATATACTCGGAAATATCAAGACTAATTTCAATGGCTCCGATAAGTCTTTATCCTAGAAATTTTATGGTGTCGCAATGGAAGCTTCTGAAATAGAGTGTGACCAATTCCTGAGGTATATGGGCAGCGATGACCCCAGGATCACTAGATACCTCAAAGCAATCGGCAAAGAAAAGTGGGCAAGATCGTGCTCGAATAATTGTTTTTCTATAATGACTTCTAACCTTGATGAGTCTATGAACAATGTTGACGTTGTCCCACGTGAATATCCAATTTCACAACTTGTTGATTTTCTTGTGGGAAGAATGCAAGTTTGGTTCCATAAGTGTAAATAAATGGCTAACTCAACGTCATCTATCTTGACAAAGTTTTACGAGGCGGAACGTAAGGAACTACATGCGGCTTCAACTATTATGGAAGTAAATAATTTTAAACTAATTTTGATATGCACTTCTAGTCCCGGTCATTATTATATCTTTATAACCCTCATCATGCCCCAGTCATTATTAATATTAACGTCCTTGAATTACATATGTTTCTGGTCATTTTTTAAAATTAAGTCTTACCATTATACTATTTATTTCACTGCCAAAAACTACCTAATATGTAATGCTTAAATGCATTACTTGTCATTATACGTAATAACCATGCTCACAAAGCGTGGTCATTATATGATTTTATATGCCCTTCAAGTCCCGGTCATTATTAAAACTTTATAACGCTCATTCGTTTATGTTTAATACAACGCCTAAACTAATTTCTTAGTCATTAAGAACCAAACCTGATGTCGGTTACATTTTGCAAGTTAGGCCAGCTTGTACATTTGAGTTCCAGGTGTTTGACAAGAACGACTGGTCGTTCGTTGTAAATTTTCAGAATAGGACATATACCTGTTCTGAATTCCAATTGGACTATTTTGTATGTGTTCATGCAGCCTCTGCTACTCATTTTGACACGGACTGTCGTGTTATGATTACATCTCATCGTTTTCCAGCACTACTTCCTGGAGAGCTACATATAGCGGGATGGTACACCCAATTCCTTTGAAAGATTCTTGGGTTGTACCTGATGTGGTCGCTCAAACTTTTTGCCTCCCAGCATCTTGCTCTAAACGACCAATAGGATGACCAAAGAAAAGAAGGATCCCGTCGAAAGGTGAACATGCGAAGTGGAAAACATTTTTTAGGAAGACGTGTGCGAATCTCATTGCTTTTTATCGTGCTTGACTTCCTTTCAATCATTTTTTTCATTTTTCTTTCATAACACCAATTCATTTCATTCTATGACTTAAGGAATTGAACGGCGGTCTTTTATGACATTAGTTTTGTCCCAATTCTTGTTTATTTCTTGTTATTTTGAACACTAAGGGATTCATTATCCACTCTTTTATTTTATTTGTTATTTAATTTGAATTGGAAAAATTTTCATTTTCCCGTTGATCGTTTCGTGTACAACAATGACTAAAAGGACAATTGAAAAATGAGTACTTCAAAAATGACCAATGGTTGGCATTCTGCACAAAAATGACTACTTGAAACAGACCAATGGCATTAGTTACAAAGTACAAAACCATATGCTCTTCCATTTTCAAAGTCATTATCTTATAGTTCAAGTTACATAATTTCCTAACAAATACCTACTTTTGAAAGTACTACTTGCCCAGAGAAAACATCTCACACCAATGAAACCTTATTCTTCCATTTTATGATCCGCTTAACAATATTGAAGTGAATTATGATATTTCCCTCTTCAAGATCGACCACCAATAAGTCCTCTTGAGATCTTGATACATCTTGTCACAACTAGGGTGAAAGATGTACGTGAACTCGTGAGTTTCACGCAACAAGCGCTCCCTCACTTCACCACCAGGTACTACCAGGCGATCCAGGAGAACAAGACTCCGTCGTCATCAATGGTGAAGTTTGGTCTCTCACCTTTTGAGACCAGCTCCCATGTTTTAACACAATATTCATCTTCTTTCCGGGCCATGCAAATCTCACTTCTGAGGGTCGGCTGCAGCCTAAGTTCTGCCATAGTCTTTCAACTCAGAGCGTCAGCCACTACATTGGCCTTACCCGGATGGTAGCCAATGTAATATTCATAGTCTTTAATACGTTCCAACAATCTTCTCTATCTCAAGTTCAAATCCTTCGGATGTGAGTTGTATCCCCAAATTGGTAATGTCGCCAGATCTTCAATGCAACAACCATTGCAGCTAGCTCAAGGTTATGAGTGGGGTAGCTGCTCTCGTCCTGCTTAAGCTGTCGAGAGGCGTAGGCCATGACCTCACCCTCTTGCATAAGCACACATCTTAACTCGCTATGAGATGCATCGCTAAAGATGGTGTAATCTACTCCTGGTGTGGATTGCACCAACACGGGTGCCTCTGTAACGCCCTACAACCCGCTCTATTAGAAAAATTATTTGATCACGTCATAATATTCAATTTGACTATCTGATTCTAGAAACACAAACGGATCTCAATTCGGACATGTTCGGGGGGAAACGCGTATCGTTCAGGTCATATTTTATCAAAACGGAAGGAATTAATTGGGGAGGTAACTCCCATTCAATCACATGTCACCCACACCACCCCATTCATTCCCAATTAACCCACCATTATTCACCCATTTAATCCCCATTAATAAAAACCCCCTCCCCCATTCATGTTCTTCAACATTTGTAACCCCCATCCCTTACACTCATCACATCCTTTCCTCTCCCTCTTCCCTTTGTGTAATTTCAGCCAAGCCATAGCAGCTCCAGAAGGTTTTCCGGTGAGTAGATGGAGAGGTAGAAGAGGAGAAGCTTACACGAGAAGCCGTACGTTATTCGCCGTTCACCATTCGTCCGTTCGTTAGACGTCCATTCGTTCATCTCGTTTCATCGTTCCATCAACCCCTTCGTTTAGAGGTGAGTACGTTGCCCTCTAACTTTAGAATTCGTAGTTCAATCATATCTTTATATTCATAGGATTACCCGGCTAAACATACGTGTGTCCGCGTTATTGTGGTTATTCGTTATTTAGACTTTTCGACTATAAACTTGTGATATAAATGTTTGATAATCCATAATTTCATAGCTTATTCAATTTGAAAACATAAACATTCACACAGAAAACATCCAACGAATTGACGACAACCAAACAAACGAAATAGGAATCAGCGTGCCTTGATAATCGATTTACGGAGCATGATAATCGATTATCAGCCGTCGCTGAACTCCTCGGTTGATCCA